AACTGAGGTGGTTATTTAGATAATCTGAAGAACAATGCATTTTAGTGCATATTACCAATGTTTCAGCATCTATTGTATCTTGGCAGAAGACAAATATGAGCTGAAATGTTAATTAATGAAGTTAAGAATCAAATGGTCTCATTTGAGTTATAATTGTGGTGTTTTCTGTTCCTTGATTTTGTTGAACTGACCCTCTGAGTGTGTTCTGCAATGAACTAAAAACATAGAAAATCACAGAAACTGCAGGTCTAATGCAGCTCTGCAGACTTTGACAAGTGTAATGACAAGGAGACACCTTTTTTACCCTAGGAGGGAGGCCTATGGAAAAGAGAAGACCTCACCTGAAGAACATTTACACACATACACACACACACACACACCTAAACACACACATTCCCAACTGAGGGATAATAACAGGCTGCAGAAAAAAGACAAACATCCCCTTTTCCCCTGTCATCTCCTCCTCCTTCTCTTTCCCTTACCCTCCTTCCTCTTCTTCACCTCCTTCCTCTCCTCCTCCTCCCTTCCTGGGAGTTTTGTTTCACCTTGCCTTCATACTGGATTTCTCCCTCCCTTTATGTCATCTATTATTGGTCTCCATGTTTGTTCCATTTCCAACCCCTCCTCCTCTTCATCTCCTCCATACCCACCTCCCCTTTACCTGTAATTACAGAATCATTCCACGATCACACACCTGAGGAATGAAACTGAACACAAACACACATCTGTGTACAGAGTGAAAACACACAACAACGTTACACTGTGCTTAGGATACACAACCCATAAGACAGCGGTAAATTGTGTTGACTTGGTATGACCTCATCGGATGATTCATATTCTTGCTACAGTTCATCAGGTAGCTGTCATTCCTCTTCCATCTTGTTCCCTCCCCCCTTCTCTGCCTTCCCCAGTGTGCAGATGTAACAGGGACAGAAAAGGAGCCAGGCACGTACAGATAGATACAGATATATCAACTATATATATGGAAAAATAATGAGGTGAGAGGGGTTTCAACATGTTTTAGTGCATTTCAAACTGAGACAAGTGAAATAAGCTTTTCCTAAATTTAGAGAATTTCCTTTCTGAGATTTCTGCTGCCACCCCACTACGACGGGACTGAGAGGATGTTTGCTTTTGCTGTGTTGAAAAATGACATTTGAAAAACACATGTCACAGCATGTCTTTCCAGAAACAGTGAGTTTAATATCCTTATCCTAAAACACTTTTACTTTTTTCTGAAGCACGCTCATAAGAATGTTCTGAGTTGGAATTAAACACGGACACGAAACAGAAGAAGTTTAAGATGGAAGTGACTTAGGCAGTGGAGGAGAAAGAGTAGAAAGTGGATGAAAAGGAAAAACATTGCAGGGTGGGCTCTCACTTTTGAAGAAATACCTTGAGAAAAGGAGGAGGAGGAGAATAAGGAGCAGAGGTAAGGAGGGAGACGATAACGGTGAAGAGGAATAAGAGCAGGATATAGCAGAAGAAGGAAGACAGGAAGGTAGTGGAGATTGAAATGGTCTATATTGGGCTGCATGTTATCTCTAAAAGATAGGCAGAATGGGTGGTACAGATATAGAAAGACAGGAGGAGGAGGAGAGGAAGAAGAGGGGAAGGAAGAGGGGTGTGATGCTGCTAATTTAAAAGTCTCAGCAAACAGACGTTAGAAAGAAAAGGAAAGAGAAGAAGAACGAATTGGATGACAGGGAGAATGGAGATTAGAGGAGAATAGAGAGTATCACAACACACACAGCCAGATGTAAAAATATGTGTAAAGGTTATAACATTGTTTGGAAATACTGAGAGAAACAAACACTGCAGAGAAACTCTCCTTCAGATTCCAGTGAAATGTGTTTAATAAACTGAGTGTTGGGTGGGTGCAGTCTGTGCTTGGTACACCTACTGCAGTAACACTGCCACAGATATACTGATACCGAGTGACTGTACAGTGTATTTACTGCCAGCTGAATTCCACATAATTTAATCTGTTGTTTTTTTCTCTCTTCGAAATGTTCACAGAGCACGTACATTTTTTCAAAAGTTGCTTCACCTTCTGAACTTGCATTCACCCGACAATACCTCAGATAACGTACAAGTTAAGTAAGTGCCTTGCTAAAGGGCATCTCAGCAGTCTTAAAATCAATATACTGTTTCATATTAACTGACCGAAAATACATAAAATTGTTTCTGTGCAAAATGACTATAAAACTATCAGTTACACTCATTCTATCATGGCGAGCCTCCGACTCTGGCCTCAGCTTTTATAAAAGTGTTTCCGTGTATTTAAGGACCCAGACTTAAATTTAGAAGGGAAAAAAGAGAGCACTGGTATCAGCTTGGTACTCTGTATCGGCAGATACCCCAAGTTGAGGTATCTGAACTCTTATTAAGAGGAAAGCAGCTGCATCCATGCATCCATATTTATGGGCCCAGCTTTTTACATATAGACGTTATTATGTTTATGTCACCAAACTGTCTCCCTATATTTAGCAGCATATAAATTTTGATTGCTTGCAGAGAGTTTGATGAGAACAACAATATCATTCTGACGTCTGTAAGCAAAATAAAAAGCTAACTAACTTAGCTTAGCACAAACATCAGAAACAGCTAGCTTGGCTCTGTCCACCTGTCAGCACCGCTAAAGCTCACTGATTAACATGTTGTTTATCTGCGTAAACTGGCTGTATATCACTGGCTGCTTTATATTTAGCATACAGACAGATGTGATCAACCTTCTCATCTGTCTCTGCTTCTATTGTGTTTTCCTGCTGAGAAACAGATAAAAGCAGTACGTGACTTTTTTGGTATAGCTGCACCCAGCAGAGAGAGAGAGAGAGAGAGAGAGAGAATTGAATTGAGAGAGAGGAGTTGGGGTAATTTAACAAGCCTTCCCCTCGGCGGGTTGAGACAGGTTAACTTACATTCCAATCTCTCCCTCCTCTTTCATTCAGGCAGAGGTAGGGGGGTTAGGTGTGTGTGTGTGTGTGTGTGTGTGGTGGGGTCTTCAACACACTCTCTGAGCCTTGTTACTGACACACACACATACACACACAAACACACTTGTAAATCCTGGCCTTAGCCCACCTACATTCTTTCAAGACAAAACTGCATCCTGGTAACTACAGACCCTCCCCCTCCTCTCCCTCTCTCTGTTGCCCTCCTTGAAGCCGTCGTTTGTGCCACCACAAATTTTCATCATGCCATGCAATTTTAAACATTATTAACACATAAAGCATCCTTCTGCAACATTGGTCGTTTGCTTTTAAAATCAGACTACACTGTGCTACAATGAAGATTTTGCACTCATTCACACACTGAATATGCAGGTCAAGTGTACCAAAACCATATATACATAAAAATATTCTTCACAAGAAAACTTATGCAAGAAGACGAGTTGGTGTTTTTGCTTAAAAGGTGCTCTCCTACACTTTAGTTTTGCACTTTTATAAAGTTGAGGCACTCACAAGAGACAGATTTTTAAAAAAGAATGGTGAAAGTCGAAGCAGCAGAGGCCAAAATATCCCAACTTTTAGTTCCTAGTATGGGTCAAGTTCCAAAAATGCTGGATTGTACAATACCCTTTCCCAATTGATTGACAATTCATTCCAAATGTATACACATCTATCTTCTTTTACAGGCCAAAGCTGAAAATATATATATATTTTTGGCTCTTTAAAAATAAATTATTTAAGGTACAAACATTTATTTAAGGCACGCCTCTGGAGCAACTAGGGGTTAAGTGTCTTGCTCACTGACACATTGATGCCTCACAGTGGATTCAAACCCAGGTCTCTGACACCCAAGGTATGTGTCTTCTCCACTGCGGCATCACCACAAAGCAGGATGTTTTTAGAAGGTGAGACTGACATTAGAAATGCATGTCTGGCTAGTTCAAATTTTTCCCACAATCATTACACAAAATTTCAATTAATGACAGCCAACAACAAATATGAGCCAATATAACAGCAAATGTTTACATCGATCACTGAGTATACTGTATTATAATGGCACGTTGGAAAAAGATCTCATCCAAAATGATTGTGAGAGCAAACTGCTGGGCTCTGATAGCGTTCAGAAACCTTTCGTTCATTCTTTTATTATTGTCACGAGATAAACAGGCTTATAAAAGGCTTTTAGAAGCTAAACACACACACACACACTCAGTTACAGTCACAGCTCCCTGATTCTCTATTGAGACATTCAACACAGAGAAAGAGAGGAAGGGCAGAAAGTAAAGAGTGAGTAGAAAAGGGACGATAGATGGAAGCGGGAAGGGAAACTGAAAGCCATGACAGAAAACACACAGTGAACGTCTCTGCACTGATGAATGAGGAGAGCACTCGAGCAGGAGAGCCTGGCACAAAAGAGTTGCATTCAGAAACATAAAAGGTTGTTCAAGAGCGACGTTCAAAAACACAGAAAGGTTAACTTGGAGCACAAGGTGGACTGAGTGAAGCTTTTGAAGCTGTAGTGCATGAGGGCCTGAGTCTCTCCCTGTGTTTGGAAAACTTTCCTAATATGTTATACATCTATATGTGAGAGTTGTCATTCTGACAAACCAAGTCTCCTGCCAAGAACAACATCTCTAAATACAGTATGTTCAAGTGGAAGCATTAACGGTTAGATTTTTTATTTGGGTCACTGAGTTTCGGGAGGCTGATTTATCCTTAATGTTAGCTGCTTAACCAGTTACTCAGATAGACTTCACATTTATTATCAGTGAGGGCAACAGTTTATCACTGTAAGGTAGAAAATAAACAGTTCAGCCTAACAAGGCAACATTTTCAGACCTTGTGGCTCAAAATTGTGACAATCTCACAGGACAGGACTTCTCAACCACAAACCACTTTTTTAAATTAAAATTTTAGTTTAGCTAGCTTACAGGCTATAGCCTCAACTGTCCACACATTATGATATCCTCCCTTTACCACCTTTCAAATTGCCATCCAAAACAGAAAGTCCAAAGAATCCAATTTTGAAATACAAAAGTCAACGGGAATATTATATATCTAAATTTATAGGACGTCTACAAACCATTGGTCAACAATGACGTTCCACAATAATCTGAAAACCTCTGACCCTCCAGAAAAGGTGACAACCATAAATGCACAGACAGTCAGAGAAAGTCCATCTGCGTGTGTGTTGAGTCGTACCTGTCCGAGGTCCAGGGTGACGTTCACCTGGTTGAACTCTGTGCTGCGGGACAGAGGCGGGCTCTGCCACCAGCGCTCCGTCCCGTCGATGGCGTTGGTGATGGGATGGGCGCGATCGCTGTCGCTTTGGCTACAGATGTCACAGTACTGGCCCTGGGAAGACACAGATGTACAAGTGTTTTTATCTTTAGTTGAGCATTTGAGGATTCAAAAGGCGGCAGGAGTGTGAAACTTTACGATGTACATTGAAAAGCCATTCTTCAGGACATGAGGAAAACGCTCTTCCAAAGAACAGCCTTCTCATGAAACTGATACCAAAGAAGCTTCCTCTGAGTTTGAAATATTTTCACATCAGACTGTGTGATGCACTGTTCTCGCTGTTAATCTTGTGTGTTTTTAACAATCAACTGGCATACCATGTGTCCTTGACTGGCTAATATCTGTCTAAAATATCAATCAGTCCAACATGCCTGCATTTTTGGGTCTTCGAATTATGCTTTAATGATTACATATATTTTATCACACATAAGCTTCCATGTACCAAATGACCAGGTCGTTCCACTGAGTAGCTTCAACAGGAGAGGAGCTAATCAATGAACCACCGGCTATAGTCTTTGGTTGGAATGAAACCTTGAGGTCTTTCTCAATATATTTAAATGTCAATTAAACATTTATACTTTCAACTTCTACTATTCAGACTGGATATGAGGATCTTGCTCAGAGACACTTGTGAGCGAATAACACACGCTGGTTATTGTTATATTTGACCCTTCAGTCTCTATTCCAGCCATTATAACCACCCAAAACAGCAGCACAATGTTTCAGAGTCACAGTGAAAAGAAGAGATTTCTTTCACAACTGTCCCTGAAGCTACCAGGCTCAAGTTTCTCATATTCCAACACAGAGCTTACTCCCACTCAGGTTACTGTAACAGTGAGGCTCTAGCTTGTATTGTATTTCAGCTAATGGGTTTTAATGTGTCATAAATCTTGTCTTAGTGCCTTAGTCTGTTTAAAGTGAGAGCATAGTGTACTGTATGAAAAAAGGAAATTCATTAGCATTTACATTCTCTGCCACTCCAGCACTAACTAACACTAACACATCCCACTGGTACCATCAGTAATGAAAAATAATACACTTTGTCTTCCACAAAGAACTACATCTTTATATTAGTGCATCCTAGCAGAATCACACTCACATTTTAATTAGCCACTTCTTCATTACCCTTACTTCAAAATGTCAAGAACACTAGTTTAAAGGTTTATATACCCTTAGAAAGAACAAGGTCAGGCAATAATGGGCACCACATTATTAAAATCAAGTTGTATTTATTTTATTTTTAGACTGCTACCCTTAAAAGTGTCCAATCACTGCACAAAGCAGCATTACTGTCAGGTATTTTGAAAAGTCTGCACAGTCGTTCTGACTTCAGCTACTTCAGTAGCAGCAAGTATTTGCAAGCCTAAAATCCTTCCAGATGATATTGACCTGCACCAACTTTGACCACCTTTAAATCCATGTTAGAAACATTTATTGTTTGCCACTGTCTTTGACTTAAACTTAAAACACTCACTAGGAACTATCTTTCCCCCCAAACCTGTATTTCTGTCATTTTTAACTCAAATGAAAATTGACGGAAATTTGCATGTGTATGAAATGTGCTATACAAATAAACTCGCTTTGTCTAACTACAAACCACATATATAATTTACACTTTTGCCAACCATTTACCAATACAGAACATAGTGTTTGGGATTTTTAGTGCTTTTCCAACAATCAAACAAGCTATTGATTTCGAAACTACACAACGACAACATGACATTAACATAACAATAAATGCAACCATTATGTTGAGCAGGATGAAAAACATCTCCGACACATTTCAAGACTCTGTCCTGGTAATTTTCACACCATAGCATAGTTGAATGAATGGAAAACAAATGGCTGCCTGGAAGGCAGTTTAGGTAGTTAAACTACAAAATCCAAAACCCTGTGGCATGCTTTAATAATTTGTGCTTAAACACAAATGTGGATGTGTCCATTTGAAGTGGCCTCTCCACCTCCTTGGCTCCTAAAGCCTCTTCATTATTTGCTAATCCAGTTTGGTTGTCTGAGCGTTTAACCCAATCACTGCTGGCTATGTAAGCATTAGCATAAACTAAACAAGCGAGGACCTGAACAAATGCTCGGGTTAGGAGATGTTATCACAGACAATGTCAAAGGTCATTGCTCACTTTTTGACTCCACCCCCCCACAACCACCTTCTCCTGTCCCCTGTCTTCCCCTGCACTTCTGAGAGATCACCCGTTAATCAACCCTTCAGATTCTCCGTTTTCTGTGGATCCCTGTATCTAACCACTTTAGTAATTCTTAAACCTTAAATTAGTTCATTCTTCCTCTCTAATTACTTTCCCTCAAATAGCATTACTTTCATCAGTCTTGCCACTGATCTCCTGGATTGAGTTCAGTTTTGGTTTAATCCTTAACTGGGATACGTGGGGTACTACAAATTACGGCTGTTCAAAAATATCTCAATGTCAAATGTGCCGTGAACGAGCCAAGATAGATTGCTGCCCTGAACAAGAGATTAGTGAGAGGTAAATTAAATCTGAGTTAACTGAGTAACCAAGTTATGTATGGTTTACTAATTGGATGTAACAATTTATCTAATATTCCCTTCAGCAACACCTATTGGGCTCTGAAATTGTGTTTTAGTGATAAAATATCATTTGTTTCTGTGAAAGACTTGCAGGCTCTTGTTTTTTAAATGTAATTTCCACTTACATTTTCCTCTTGGACATATCATTGTGCCAACTCTCTTTCACAATCTTCTTTTTATACTTTATCTCTGTATTTGTAATTAACTAATTATCTCCTTCTGCTCTCATGTTGTCTGTCAAATCTGAGAGCACAGACCAGTTGACAGTTCCTTGAAAACAGTAAAGAGGGCAGGAAATCACCTTCAATTAAGCAGCTGAATGCAGGGAAATGAAGGTGACCAACAGTTCAGCTGTTCCAAACAGTTTAAGTTGGTGGTGCTCTCTGAAATAACTGACAAAAAAAGCGGATTTCCTACCAAGGTATGTGACATCTCAAGAGAACAAGGTTAAGTGTTTAGTGTAGTGAGATGTCAGGGAGTCTGCTTCTGTATTTCTGCCTGGCTGTCAAACTATCTTTCACAGTATTCCCTTTTCTCTTTTTTTCTTTCACAATGCCCGATCCATCCTCTCTTCCTTCACTTCCTTTCATATGCAGGCATGTCAACCAAAAGGCCACCTGGGAATAAACATGTAGAGCACATTCTCCTCTCTCTGTGTGTTACACACTCTTTCATTCAGTCATTTTTCAACTTTCTTCCCATTTCTTTCTTACCTTCCACCTTTTAGGTGAATAAGAAAAACTCTCTGCTTCTCTCTGAGTGAGGAATCCACGTCCTCAGGGCAGAGCCAAAGTGTTTCTCAGTCAACACCTGCCACTTTATGTAATCTAACTTTTTTCCCTCTTAAGATACCATGCTGCTTTTCTCTTACTTCCTCTAACTCTTTCTGTTTCTCTCTTTCTACATCAGAACATTTTTTTCTTTTCCCTCTCTCCTTGTCTTTCCTCCTCTCTGTCTCACTCTGTCCTGCAAGAGTATTAAATGGTACCACAATTAAAGCTGCATGCACTTGGTCAGATTTTACCTTAAGTCCCAATGACACAAGCATCCAATCACTATTAAAATAACTGGTACACTTACTGGTGATCAACCACAAGAACTGTCTCCTAAACACCAGCACCAAACTCTCCATCCAAGACAAAGCTGAATTCCCCATTGTCAGAGCATCCTCTTCACCACATCCACCCTCAGGAGACGGCTTACTGATATCTTCTTGGAGCAGTTTTAGGTAATTAAGTCCATTAACACTCAACAGATATGGCTGGTTGCCACGTTTACTGCTTTAAACTACTCACATAGTGCACCAAATTAGCCAAAACGCACCCTTCAGTTTAGTTTAATTCAGTTTTAGAAACTGCAAAAAAAATCTAAAATCTAAGTTTTGAATTGTGCTATTAATGTTTTGTTTGCAAAAAAATCCCAGGTTAGTGTTTTTTTTGTAGTGTAGTCTATCTGTGTCAAGATATTATTATAAGAGATTTCTGGGTAATCTCAAAATGTAATCTGGGGCCACCAAGTGCAAAATTACTCTGTACTCATACACAGCAATGCATTGAGCAAAACGCTAAAATCAACATGCAAACATGCTTACAATGACAATGCTAACATGTTGATGTTTAGCAGGTATTACCATGTTCACCATCTTAGCTTAGTATGTTAGCATGCAAACATTTGCTAATTAACAGTAAACACAACGTACGCAGCTAAGGCTGATGGGAATGTCATTAGTTTTGCAGGTATTTGGTCATTACATTCAAATTTGACCTACTGATGCTAGATGAAAGATCAAAGAATGAAAGTTATTACAGTTCATCCTGAGAGACATGTGAATATTTGTACCAGATTTCATGGCAAACCATCCAGTAGTTGTAAAGATATTTCACTCTGGACAAAATTGGTCGACTGACCGACACACTGACATTGTCATTGATGATGAGTATGCTGCTTAATTAAATAATCCAAAGAGAATAAATTAACCTTCTATGGAGATGTCAGTCCACAGGCGCACGTGGTAATTAGTGATGACCACTGCGGTTTAGTCCTAAGTGAGAAAACAAAAGCTCTGATTTAGTGCATAGTGCTTAGGGAAAGTCATTCACACACTCACACACATTCCAATCTCTAGTCCTCCTCCTGCTGATTTTAATTAATAAAAACACTCTCACGTCTTGCTGTCAAATCAAAACAGGATTAACCTATACACAGAAAAGTGTGTGTGTGTGTGTGTGAGAGGGTGTGTTGATCAGGGGGTGCTGTAACCCAACAAGTGGACCGAGCCACAATTGCCCAGCAAAGTGGGCTAAACCTCTTAGCCCGAACACATAATGCACCATTCCTTGAGCTAATGACCTGATTTCTTGGATTCATTTGGGAAATTGCCTGAGCTAATGACGCACCAAGATCTCCACTTCAACCACACTGCTCTGAGCAGGCAGATCCGAGAAAGACTGGATGAAATTTCTGATGAGAAAATATTAGTTCTAATCCTCAGTGCGGAGAAGTTGAAGTGGGAATGTGCTCAGGATCATGTCTGCATTTGGGGAAAATTAATCTCATACCTTTAAAAGGTTAATTTAGTAGCTGATTTAAAGGTAATTACTCAACAAAATATTTCTTTCTGTCTTTCTTTCTTTCTTTCTTTCCATTTAAGGTGAAATTCATTTTTTTCTGTGTAGAGCTTAAATGAGGTATTTTAATAAACATCTTGAAAGCTTAAATCAATCTTGAAAGCCCCAAACACCCCTGAGGGCATTATGCTGTTGTGTTTTGTTGACTTCATTCTCAGTCTCTACAATCAAACAATGCCTCAGACTGCCTGCTGTTCATTCTCTACCTCTACTGATCAATCTCATATCTTTATCTCATCAACTTTACATCGCCATGTCTGATTTCTAATTTCAGATCAAAAGGTATTTCCTAGCACGCATGCCACTTATTTTGCAAACATTAAAATAACACCGGGATTTAGAAATGACAGAATTTTATAGTAATTTATAGTATAGTAAGAACCATCACATCGATAATCTCGCTGTAACAGAGCGTATAAACTTGGTCTGATTGGAGGACATGGGTCAGTCACCGTGAGGAATGTGGGGAACAGGTGGGAGAGAGAGAGAGAGAGAGAGAGAGAGAGAGAGAGAGAGAGAGAGAGAGAGAGAGAGAGAGAAGGTAATAACCCTGCATGTTATCGCCCAGAGGGTTGCTTTAATGGTTAACCCATGAAACTGCCATAATCCTTTGTGTTAACGAGTGATACCTGGAGGCTTAAGAGTCAAACACCAAATGGGTCTGCTATTGGTTTTTACAAAATCACAATCACATTAAAATCTAATCCATAAAACACACACAAAGCCTGATGTGAAAACCTCCTCAGTAGCCGAATTTCTGTGTCCACTCTAAGTGAAATGTTGCCTGTCCTTATATAAGTAGCCTTGTGTTAAGTGTTGCCAAGTTCTACAAAGGAAGCAGTGCATGAAATAATGACTTGGCAGAGCAGTTGGAGATTCATGCACACTACTGACCCCCTCTGTTCAACTCTCTATTTTGAATGCAGTGAAGTGTGTAGGCTGGCACCTGCATCAAGGTCTAACATAATAAAACTGGAATGAAACATGCAGTTTGGGGATAGAAAACTTTAACTGCTACAATACACCAGTAAAAGGAGCAACAGTGACCGTGTAGTAAATGATAAAGAGTACTATAAAAGGTAAAGATCATAGAGACACCTCAGGGAATACAAATGTCATTGCATACCCTAAAGCTCACACAATTCAGTCCTTAAAGTACACTGATGTAGCAATATTCTAGAAATATTACACCTCTGAATGCAATAAAATAGGTCACTTAAGGTACATTATAAGTCCCTACAAATTAAAGGAAAGCAAAGTGTCTAATGCTACCAAAAAGAAATCAGTCACTCCCAAATATTTAGCACCAAAAACTCATTTAGAGCACATAGGAATACCATATACTAAAATCACTGTAAAACTCCTGACCATGCAACACAAACAATCTCTGCAAACGCAAGCACCTAGTGTAATATTATACAAATACTATAGGAGTGTTATAACATGACTACAGTAGATAAAGATGCAATTAGGCGTGATAAAGTCACCTTAAACTCACAGCTGAGCACCATACACTAGCTAGAAGAATATTATAGGTGTACTATAAGCTTAGAAGCTGTCATGGTGGGAAAAACTGCAATTAACCCTACATGTTAAGGACTATCTTAGGAAATAAAAACTCCATTAAGTTCAGTAAACTGACTCACTGCTGAGCGACACAAGTAGGAATAAGGGTTTTATAAAGTTTCCTGCTCACCTGGATGGTCTGACTCGGGTCTCCGGACACCGGGCCTCCGACCAGCTTGCAGTACAGATCTTGCACGGTCCTGCCGGTGTCTTCCTCCCCGCATGTCGCCGTGGCGGTGATCTTGGTGCCCTCGGCCAGGTTGAAGTAGGGCGGGTGCAGGCTGTATCCGTTCACCCCGTTGATCGGCAGCTCCTGCGCCGACACGGAGTGGCAGCAGGTCACTAACAGCGACCACAGCAGCAGCGCGACCCGCGTCTGGGTGCGCCGAGCCGGGGAGAGCGCAGCACCGAGTGGCGCCGGTCCGCTCGCCATCATCTCCACCTGTTCGCTCGATCCGGTCCGAGCAACAAAAAAAAGTTTGGGAAATAAATGAATCTGAGTATAAAGCGAGAAGAGCCGTTAAGCTATGTAGGAGAGAAGCATGTGGAGGGAAAAGTGTTGAAACTGCAAAAGAAAGACAAAGGAAGGGGGAGTTAGTTTGTAGTCCCAGAGAGCGGTGCGCCGAGGTTTCTGTGTCGCTCCAACAGGCACCTATTCAAACTCAATCTGTCCCCCCCCCCCCCCCCCCTCCTTGTTGGCCCGTCCCCGTGGATGGAGGGAGGAGGGCATTGCTTCTACCAATGCTTAGTGTGTGAATGGTTAAGTTACATCATTCTCTTGAAGCACCGCGGTTCATTGATTAGCTCAAATTAAAGGCATCTTAAATGGAGACTTTGGATCCATTTGTTCATTTGATGCCCTGCGACGGATTGGCGACCTGTCCAGGATGTACCCCGCCTTTCGCCCGATGTCAGCTGGGATTGGCTCCAGACCCCCGCGACCCTGTACGCAGGATCAGCTGTTGACGATGGATAGATCACATTTGATGTACAGTTTATTTCAATGTTTGGGATGGTTTCTGGGAATTACTCCTTTCCTCACTCACTTCCTTCCAACTTGCTTCCTTTTTATCTTTCCTTTCCCTTCTGTTCCTTTCTACCTCTCTGTTTTCTCTCATTCATCCCCACTTTTCCTTCCTTCTCTAGTCTCCTTTCTTATTTTCTTCCATGAGGTTCCTCCTCCATTCAACTCCCGTTTCCCTCTTTTATGTTCCTGTTCCCTTTCCTTTCCTCCTGTTGCGCCCTACCCATCACTCCATCTTATTAGTGTAAAAAAACATACATTTCTTTCTTGTTTTTTCCCTTTACTCTCTCTTTAATGTCACACTCCTGCATCACACTCACCAAGTGACACAACAACAAATGGGAAATCAAACCACAGAAGCACACAGAGAATGAGCTTCCAGACAGCTCCTCAAACACACAAATAAAAACATGCAGACAGGTGCTCTTGACAAACATGCCAACACACACACACACACACAGTTGGCCACACACTAAGCACAAAGGAAAATGAAGAATAACATCAGAGGAGGAATTTCATAAATGCAGTGGTCATCCGAGGTATTAAAAAAATCTTTACAATTTTTAGTTGGTGCTTTTATTACTGTTCTTGCTTTTGCACTTTGAAGACAGAATATAAAGCTGTTGTGATTTAAATCAAATTTAATGTGGACGAGTGGGTTTGATGTGTGTGAGAAGTAGAAATGACTAAAAAGGATGTGACTGTTTTGATTAGATCCATTTATCAAAGTGAAAAACTGTCAGGTAGGACCAAAAATAATTTGCTCTGACAAACATTTTAGTGATTTTAGCTTGGATATCAATAAATGATGCACAAAAAAATCATTTCCTGACCTTAGGGAATAGTAGTTTGACAAGCTCGTCTTAACTTAAAGTTCACTTACTAGCTTTTTCCAGAGCTTTCAACCATCATCACCACCATCTCACCGTCTTTATCGGGATATCAGTTTGACTCAGCTCACAAGTCTCTTGACCAAAAGATTAAACTCTGTTGTTACTCATCTCAGCAAATAAACACATATACAACTGCATGTTATCATGTAATCAAACAGCTAGGTCACGTGAACTGGCTGACTCAATGACAACTAAACAGACTACATTTGTTAATGAAGACTGCGAGATCCTATAGTAAGTGACCTTGAGTTAAGATTATTTTGTCAACTAAATATTGTGTGTGTGTGTAAAGTCGTTTGGCCCATGTACTTATGTCGGTGGGGGAAACTTCATGTAGCATTACACAAAGTTCTTGCTGGTTATGCTCACAGTTTATTAGCACAGCTACATACCGATAAATTTGTTTAGGAGATTCTACGTTCGTTTATACGAATGTGTGCATTTGTCTGCTTAAACTAGTAGGTGGCCTGTCACTCTTCTTCTATGTTTATAATCTGTCCTCCTCTCTCTCTCTGTCACTCTGTAATCTAGTCTCTCTCCATGGGAGCTGTCAGACTGTCCCATGCAGACCTTTGTCCTCCTCCTGCTGCTGCTGTCGGTCAGTGTGTGGCTCAATGTAAGTGTGTGACAAACAGGCAGAGACAGAGAGACAGTGTGTCCACTCAGTATTCAATCTCAACACACAGTCTCTAAAACTCTAAATGGTTCATGTCACAGAAGAAAAGGCTCCGGCCTTCCGCTGAGAAACGGACACCAGAATAATCCTCTTTTAGTCAACAGTCTTCAGTTTGAAAACGTCGGCTGTCGTTCCTCTGAATGAGTTGTTTTTTCTCTTTCTCTAAAGTATATCTGTGGATGTCTGAGTTTTAAGGTGTAAGTTCTTTTTCTTGTTTGGTGTCTGTGGAGAACTGGCCAAACATCAAGGATGGATGGAAACATCAAGGCTCCTGGGCACAGTGTCTGTTTGGTGCTTGTGAGCACCCAAGCGAAAACTTCATCACAGACGTACATCTTCTTCCACCTTGGTAGCTCGAATGTGCCAAGGTCAGCAGTGAGACGTTTTCCACTTTTTAATTCCCACATCTGAACTGAAATAACACAGCGTCACAGTAAAATACAAAATCTCCAGGCATATTTTCTAGGGGTTGCTGAGAATTGTATTCTGAAAAATGTGGACATTTTTAAACTGAATTAAGACCAGATGAGGCAGGAAAAGGAAAGCTGCCATAAACCATCCATCCATCCATTGTCAACCGCTTATCCTGCATACAGGGTCACGGGGGCTGCCATACACAAAAATGGTAAATAACAAAAGAGCATCACAATAAACTTGTGATCGGAGGTTTAGTGTTTTGCCCAAGAACAATGTGGACAGGAGGAGCTGCGAATCAAACTGCCAACCCTGTGATTACTGGATGACCCACTCTACCCCCTGAGCCACAGCTTGCTTTTTGGATGGATGGCATTGTCAGTTGGTCGGTCAGTCTGTCTGTCCACTACTTTGGTCCAGGCTGAAATATCTAACGTGAAATTTTGTAGACATTGCAGGTTCCCAGAGGATCTTTTCCTAATGACTTCGGTGATCAACTGGCTTTTCTTCTAGCACAAATGTGGTTCTGATTGAAATGTCTTGACAACTACTGGATGGATTTTCATATAATTTGGGACACACATTCCCATCAGAATGGATTGTAATCACTTTGGTGAGCCCTTAACCCACAACACCTCGTTGATTTTAATGGTTGTAGTCTCATGTGTACAAGAAGCCTGTGTGTTATTATTAAACCTGAAATGATTTTGTTCAAAGTGCTGCATTAAATGTAGATGTTATTGTGCAATACGTAACAGTAAAATAATGCATTAATAGAAGCCTAGAAATAAATTCAAATATATTTGCATTAAATGTAGATGTTATTGTGCAATACATAACAGTAAAACAATGCATTAATAGAAGCCTAGAAATAAATTCAAATATATTTTGCATGAAATATTTATACACCTTTTTGTGTAATTTAGTTCCAGTGTCACTGTGGGCTCACGCATTGAACTTCATGGGTGTAATGTAAAGCACTTTTTACAGGATGCATGATGAAAATTGTATAAGAGTATATGTAAGTGTATAGTATTAAACAATTAACAAGTGTGTGAGGAATCGTACAATTACAGGAAGTGGAGATTATTGAACAAAAAGTTAAAGTTCAGAGCATTAGCATTTGAGCTTATACGTCTCTAGGGAACACCTGAGCAGCTGTGAGTGTTTGTTTCCTCGTGGACTCTGGAACACTGCCATCTAATCAAGCTACAGGAACCACTTTAGAAGATGAAAGGGTTTCTCCGCCACACGCAGTTAACAGCTGCTCAGGTGAGTCAAAGTGATATTTACAGGTTTGGTTTGTCAGGATGATTATATCACAGAGAAAAACCCTTCACTGGTGGACCTGCAGGGAAGCAGAGAAAAAAAACGAGAAACGAAAGAAGACAGTTAAGAAAGTTAAGATACCTTTGTCAGGCAGGTGAATTTGTTGCAATGTCCAGAGTCCAGAAACCTCACACATATACTTCCTCCATCATCTGTTTAACACATGCTGAACTCTGACCTGTGGACTGCTGCCCGCCTGCCCCTCTCTCCCACACTCAGACACACACACACACACACACACACGCACACGCACACGCACACACACACACGCACACACACACACACACACACACACAGAGGTCAGTGACCTCCTGTAGTTTAAAAGAGTCTCGAGACAGTGTGTTAATGCAGCCGAGCTTCATTCACTGACACACAACAACATTCCACTGGCTGTTTGTCGGCTCACAGGTCACAATGTGCGCTCTAGTTTAAAGGGCCGCACAAATTTTCATTATTGATAAATCAACTATCATAATTCCACAAAACGTCAGAAAATGTTACAAATGGCTGTGATACTTTCAAATAACGGAATCTTAAATACAGCAGCGGAAAAGGATCAGATGGAGGAGACATGACGAGAGACGTACATCGAGCGGAGGAGAAATAGCAGGTGGAAAGTATCTCTCACACTGAAACAGTTTCTTGTCTTTTAGTTAAATGGTGGCAAATTAAGTACTTCTTAGTACCATCTGGTGGGGGTGTGAAGTTGGATGTATACACAGGTTTGAGTAACATGAATCAGACCGGGTACGGTATCAGTGTGGTTTATACTCGTATACTCAGAGAAGACAGGGCAGTGTTAATTAGTGAGCTTTGCAGGTGCTGGTGGACCTATTTTTGAACTTTGCAGATAGCCCAGCTAGCTGTTTCTCCCCCTGCTTTCAGTTTTTATGTTAAGTGAAACTAATCATCTTCCAGCTCTTGCTCCATGCTAAATACACAGACATGAGACTGGTATCAATTTTCTCATCTAACTGTGAAAGAATACAAATAAGCACATTTCCCAAAATGTTGAGCTAGTCCTTTAACCTAACTCAACAGAAAATTCAAATTGGCATAAATACAGCTTAGTCTTATTTCTTTGTGTGTTTTGTATCACACAGTGTACTTGACCTGTGTTGTAATGTGAGTCCTGTGCAAGTTCTGTACAATACAAGTTCACGTCTTTCTGCTGTCAGACAACAGCCCACATGTAAAACTGACCTAGCACCATAAAAAGCTACATGCTCCAATGAGCTTTCCATCCAAAATAAATGTCAATGACCTGCTCACAGAACAAGTGGTCACATAAAGAGTTGAAGACAAATCTGCATAGATTTATCACATGAAAATCATATGTACGGTTACCTTTGTGGTGTAGATATACAACACAGATGGAAAAACAAGAATAAGTTGAATTAATGCCAAAAGCAATATTCATTATTCATCACAATAGCAATCTTAATGTTGTACTAAGCTCTGTTTGTTCAGGATTAGTTCAACATTTTGGGAAATACGCTTATTTGCCTTCTTTCCAAGAGTTAGCTGAGAGGTTGGACACAGGACGATTGATGAAAAACACAGCACAGTGGTTGCCAAACCGCAAGTTTTTGATGGATGGATTAATGGTCTTTCCAAAGAAAGTCAGTCCCAATTATCGACTGTTTGTGTTCAGATTAAATAAACAAGATAGATATTTTAATAGTGAGCATATTTTTAAAACCTTGCCCGTTTCCCCCTTCTTCCAGTCTTTATGCAAAGCTAAGGATCTAGCTCTGTCAGTCTGTAATGCACTGACATGAGAGTGTTATCCATCTTGTCATTTTGCTCTCAGAAAGAAAGCAAACACACATGTTGCAAAAATGTTGAGGTGATTATTGAACTCCAAATATAAATTTAATGCTAAGAAACTTACCCTTCATGAATGTTACAATAATAAAATTATTCACGTTTTCCTTCACTCGGTTAAAATTAACCTGTGGGCACATTATGCATTCAGATACATGACGGTGGCCTGCTGAGATGAAGAGAGTGGTGGGAGACTCAGAACAGCAGGGAAACTGACAAGCAGCAAAGAAACCTGGGAAAGAGAAAAAAGTATGAGAAGACATAAAAATAAAGAGAGACGAAGAAAGAGGGCTTGAAAGTTTCACCTCACTAATCCTCTCATTCTCTCCTCCTTTCTTCTTTAACGCTTTAACTAATCTACTTCCTGGTTACCAAGGAGAGGTGAGGGCAAGGCTACTTGTTGTCGGGGTAACTGCTAACTTCTCCATTAAATGAACCTACTTACCTCCTGCTGGTCCATACACACACACACACACACACACACACACACACACAAGAAAGTGAATGAGAAACACAACTGGTGTATCCTCTGCAGGCCTCAGTATCCCATAATGCATTGTGCATTTTGATATCACATTCAGGTGACTGCTCAAATCGTAAAGTCACAAGTTATCACATAACCACATACTACTTACCAGGTATTTACATTCAGGTGATCAATAACTGCTAAATCTTTCATTAAGATCTCACTTTTACAAGCGTGACAAGTTTACACTAGAAAAGACCAATAGCACACTGAAGCAACTGTAAAAATATGGACCTGATGCACCAGAAAATTTGAGTACTCAGTATGCAATTTTAATTGAGCTACAGCAATCAGAAATGTTTAAATGTTTAAACTTGTTCCAGTTTACCGCAGGTATTTACACTTTGCTGCCAAGTTCTGGCATTAAAGTTAGAATTATTTTACAAGTTGACAAGGAACACCTGAATGCATCTTTATGTTTTGGTCACTCTGAAGTTAAAGAATGTTTTCTTCCACCGTGAAACACGTTCTTCGAAAACTTAAAAAAAAAAACATTTGCTCATTACAGACAGCTATCAACTGGTGTTGTGGGGAGTGGAACAGACAGCTGGGTTAGTGAGCAGTTTAAACCTTCTTTCTATCGCCTCCTGCTTTAATTCATAACTTTTGACTGTGTTTGAATGTAGCTGGACTTCCATTTTAGATGTCGTCACTGCAATATTTTTCTGTTTCTGCTGTTTCTTTCTAAAACAGTGATTTGATCATGACTCCAAAATGCTACCCGTTAACCAAGTGAACAATAACTTTGATCAAATCACTATTTTAATTTGACAAAGTCATCTGATAACAGAAACGCAGGTTAATTAAAAAACATCTGTACTGTGTGATGAGTTATTCTGATCTACAAAATGAGTGATCAAAGAGAAAGTTAGAAGGGACAGTAATTCATTTTAAATTTTACAGTGTTTTTTTCAATTTCAGTGTTCTTGAAAATCTTCACACTAAAAGACAAGAATTTTTTTCCGATTTATCCACTATCCAGAAAAAAGTTGTCATGGAGAACCCTGCATTAGAAATATGCGAGGGCCTGTATTGGTGGGGGCGGAGTAATGGATTAATTTGTTTGAAGATGAAAGAGTAATATAATACAATGAGACAGGATTTTACAACTCAAGAAAATTATCACAATAACAATTATTTAATCTTTTAACCGTAGAACAGTGTTCATGTTACAAAATAATCTACCAGGAATGTGAACACATTTGATTGGACAACACAGCGCCTTGCTCTATGAAGCTGCTGCAAAAGTTGAGGGGCTTCATTGAAAAGAATGCATTTTCTCACAGGGCTAATACGGTGGTCTCAGTGGCCTCAGAGAGAAACAAGTGTTTTAATATTTAGTTGGCTTAGTGTGAACAGAATCCAATTTGACAGGTAAATAGTGTTTTCAAATCAGTCCACATTAGTGTAAGTGTGAGCTAAGGGCGACTTCCTGTCCTCACCCCTGAGCGAAAACCAGATCCTTTTATCTAAATCCATCTGTTAGTATCTGCCTCCAGTCAAATCTCTGCTTAATGCTCATCATCACATGCTCCACCAACACACACATGTGCACACAATTTATGTTTCCCTCTCCTGCAGCCATAACGTCAGTATATTCATGATGATAACGGTATTGAGTAAATACTGTTTGTGTATTCGCAGCATTCCTCAGATGCCCCGCCCCCCGTTTTGGATCAGATAGGAAAAACACACACACACACACACACACGTCACATGCAGTGCTTTGGGCAGATATATTTGAAGTGCTGTGGGCCGGGGATGGGATGTTTGGGGTTGACAGTAGACTAAAATGGGTGTGTGTGTGTGTGAGGCAGGTACCTACATGCCCTTCTCTTTGTCTTCCTCAACAAGATACTTCAAAACACACGCACTCCTGGTGGGCCCTCTCCCTCTCTCTCTTTTGTTCTGCTTTTGCAGCCCTGAAGAAAGAATCAGAGCTCTGATGTTACTGATGCCTGTGGGTCGGCCGGTCCAACAGTCCATCCAACACTTCAGACCAGAGTAAGATATCTGGATATCTTTTAATTTTACTAACCACAAAACATTTTCTCCAGTGCCACCCTCAGAATAAACATTTTTAGTCCTACTACAAGTAATGCTCTGCAACAATAATAAAACAAAAATAAAATCAATCAATTTTGAACATTTTGGGAAATGCACAGATTTGTTTTCTTACTGATGGATCCCAATACCATCTTATATCTGTCTGTTAAATTTACATACAGCCAGCAACCAGTTATCTTCTTAACACAAGGCCTGAAAACGGGGAAATATCGAGCCTGCATGGCTTCGTCCACAAGTGACAAAATCCACCTACCAGCACCTCTAAAGCTCACTAATCAACATGTTATAACTTGGTGTTTAATATGTACTGAAGCAGTTTAAAAGCAACCTTTTGTTGTTTTTATGTAGGGGTTATTATACAGTCACGTTTTTGAGTTTCCCCCATAGACTGTTTCCCCCATCTTTGTGCTAAGCTAAGCTGACAGGCTGATGGCTGTAGCTTCAGATTTACCGTACAAGAAGAAAGTAAATAAGTGCATTTCAGACTATTCCTTTAAATCATTTAAGTTAATCGATGAATAGTTTTGTCTACAAAACAGTGAGAAATGCACAATATTGTTTTTTAGAGCTCAATATACATTTATTCTTAAACATGAATATGTTTGAATTGTATAAAAATATAAGTATCTTCACATGTCTAAATAAATGCCTGATAAATTACTAGAAGGTTGATTCAATATTAAAAATAATATATTTTCTTATTTGTTACATTCCATATTTAAGCTACATGTTTATCGCACATGTGTGATCAACTTGTTTGGAAAAGAGCAATAGGTAATATTATTGATTCTTAAATGTTTTAAAGTTGTAGACTACTGATGATAGTAATGTTTTAGTGCAGTTACAGCGGTACAATGTCACCACAAGTGGATTCATTTTACTTTAAACTGCAGCCTCCTCCCTCTCTTGAACCCATTCACTCTCCCACATCCAGTCTGCTTTCCGTCCATCTCTCCCCCCCCCCCCTTTAATCTCTCACCAGTGTCTCTTTCACCTCCTTTCCCTTCACGGATCCCGCCTACTTTGAAGTCTGCTGGCATCTGAGAGAGGACAAAGAGACACAAAGAGACGACCCGGGCTGCTTCTGAAGATGGGACAAAAGGATGAGCGAGATAGATGGAAAGATAGAGAAGGGAAAGAAGGGAAAGAGAGAGGCATGACAAAAGACAGGATGAGGGGAGCAAGGCCAGGAGAAGAAGTGAGAGGTATAGTAAAATATAGTCAAAAGTGAGGGATGGACATAAGGCTGTACATTCAGAGAGCTAGATAAAAACAAAGCAGGGAAGATAAACTCTGAGATAATATAAAGCTGTGGGATCAAATGAAACTACAGCTTTTAGACTGAGCTTATGAAGTTATTCAATGTTTTATTTTTTAATTTTAAAATATTACCAAAACTTAGAAGTTCACCTGTCCATTTAAATATACTTTTGTTTTGGCTGACACCTAGTGGCTTTTAAAGGAACTGCAGTTTGAACTGGCACTGTTCATACTGCTTTCAGCATGCAGCCCTTGTTACTGCTATTGCTGCTGCTTCCTACTAAACTGCCTGTGCAGCCGGAAAGAGCTGCAAGACAGCCAGAGCAAAGAACAGAAGCAGCTGTTCAATAATGAACAGAAATGAGTGAGCAATAACATTAGCTATTGTTTTTTACCAAACAAGTTTTTCACACGCAGACGATAAACATGCAGCTTAAATAGGGAATGTAACGAATAATAGACTGATTAATGAACTGACAGAAAACTAACTATTTTGACATTCAATTAACTGTTCTATTAATTTATCAGGGATTTATTTATACATATTAAGGTACTGATATTATATGATGGATCAGTGCTGTGATGTAATAATCATAGACTTCTATTTACATGCAAATTAGGTCAAACTTCAGTAAGTAAACAAAGCAGCTTGACTGAATAACACAACTTGCAGACAGAACACAAAGTATAGAACTACAAATTAACAAAAATGTAATAAAAGTCTATAGATAGAGATATTTTCTTACATGGAAGTTCTGCTATAGGGCTAAATTGGCTCGCTGTCCCTTGTCTCAATGCTGAAACAGTGTTCTTTGTCCATGTCTGTGTCAAAGGTATGCAGGGGGCCAGGTGAGGGGGATCGGGAGAGTGTGAGGGGCTTCCATCCCTTCATGTTAAGATCATTGTTTGGCGAGCTTGGACTCACCAGGCCCGAGAAACACCACGCATGTTTAGCATTTAATTCAGAAGAGTTAAGTTCCAGAGGAAGCACTGCGAGTGTGTATGTTGGGTGGTGCAGGGGATAAGATGCATTTGGTGTGAGAGACCTGGGTTCAACTCCCCATTGTGATACTTAACCCCTAGCTGCTCCAGAGGCGTGCGACCTCTGACATATATAGCAATTGTAAGTTGCTTTAGATAAAAGCGTTAGCTAAATGTGAAATGTATGTTACACATAGACTAATAGTGAGAGAAAACAAACGGCAGATTCTTTTACATTATGGACGTAAATGATCTCAGCGACTAAAAACAGCTTTGTACTGCGGATTAATTATTACTTTAGTTAATTAGTTACCTTACTAGACCTTTCCTGTCCAGCATGTAACTCCACATTATGGTGATTTTGAATTTAAATGTTTCTGATCAACTGTAGGATCAAGTATTTCTTTATGGGGTGGGCAAATCCTCCTCCTTCGTAAACTAAATGAACTATTTTGAACCCCCTCTCCGATCAGCTGGAAAATGAATCGTCACGAGGCTGAACACAGGGCTGTTTTTCTGAGCTCATGAAAAGCTGACTTTTAAAAAAAAATATGTTGTTCTCACAGGACAGCGACGCTACAAACACGTGATGATCTTATAGAATATGATGCATTGCTGGTTAAAATGAGCTCAAGCTTAAAAACCTACAGCAGTAAAATGTAACACAGTGGGACCGTTTTACTGTATAATGAGTTCTTTGACTTTTGATACTTTGAGAAAATTATATTTACATACTTTTACTTAAGTAAGATTTTTATTGCAGGGCTTTTACTTGGGTACTTTTACAGTGTTACTTTTACTGAAGTACAGGATCTGAATACGTCTTCCACCACTGAAACAATTTAGTTTCATGGTTTAATGAGCATTAGTGCCTCACAGGGCCACGTGCGGCTGTTGACATTTATTCATATGATTCTCACGCACTTCAACATAGCCTTTTAGCCTAGTTTTTAAATTAAAAAATCCAAGCGTCTTTCTTTCTCTGAGTGTCTACACACACTGGTTTGCTGCAACATGAGAGACATGAGAGAGTTTTTCTCACGCCAGACAGGTCTGCAGCAGCTAATGGTTAGTAATACAGGAAGAGATGCAATTAAAAGACAGAACAGCAGAGCACACTCACTAATTCACCTGAGAAAGAGAGACTACTGAGGAGGTGAGAGCTAATTACCCATTACCTAGTGTTGCAAACGTATCCTACAAGAGTTAAATCCTAATCTGTTTAATAAGGGCAAAAGGCTTTGTTGTGTCTCTCTTTTCCTTTGTTTTGTCTTTTTCTGAGCATTATTCTATCAAACTGCAGGATCAGATGCTAGAGATACTTGGATTCTCTTTCAGTGAGCAACATGCCCACAGAAGAGTTTGTATTGGCTGAACGTGTTGATGTACAGGTCACATTTCAGTATATGCAAACTGAACAGGGTAAGAGGGCTTTGCAAGTCTTGCCCTTCGAGTGGTTATCAGTAAAAAAACAAATGAAGTGGTGAAGCAAATATTCACATAACCTCGGTGCACAGTCCAACAAGGCCTTCGGGGGAAAAAAGCGAGAGAACTAAAGACGAGGGGAAGTGATGAAGACGATGATGACATACTTCTTATCTGCATTGCTACTCACCTGTAGGAGAGAAAAAAGAGGGAGAAGTGTGGGAACAAAGCAGTAAAGCGCAGGGTGATGACAGCTAATTTTGAGTCTGTGTGAGGTTAAAGACGCCTGAAACCGCTACACCACTGGACCATCACCTCCACACCGTGTTTAGCCTAAATGACCACTGTAACCTCCTCATGCCTTCACTTTGCCCTGTTATTCTCACTTGACCAGTTTCATGTGCTCGTCATTTTTGAAAGCCAGATGGTGCACACATCTACTCCCTACTCCAGGATCTGGGAGTACAAAATCCACTTGTCGTGTATTAAGTTCCAGCACATCAGTCGCAGCTCTGAGCTCAGTGGGTGCGAACAGACAGAACAAAATCATGCACGTCTTTGGCTGCATTCATAATGATGGATCCCCAGTACAAAGTCAATTAATTTTTTTTTACTGTAAATTTTTGTTACTGTACATCTGACCTCAGCTTTTCCCTCCTGATAGATCAATAGTTCACCTGTTAACCCAAATTTTACAGCAGAATGCC